GCTATGCCTCGCGGTCCGAAGGGCATCGCTGGAGATAATGTAAATATATTTCTTTATTAATTTGAAACCATGTCATTCTATGTCTTTGTTTCACAAGCACGATAAAGTGCATTCAATCAGACACTGGGCAGCTTTTTTATCCTTGATTTATTCTTTTTAGTTGATATTCATTTCGGGCCCACAATGCTCCTCCTCAGTCAACTATTTTTTAAAATGTACATGGTTATTACATAACATTAAATTGTTAAGATAACATATATATTACAAAGAACTTACCCTTCTGTTCTGTATTGCAAATTAGCCAATTTTGAGTGATGTTCTAACATAGTTTCTCAAAATTGGGTGTATGCATGATTACAGATTTTTCATTTCCTTTCATTCTGCCGTTTAATAAATTATATTAAGTTTCTACATGGTATTAAGCATATAATTTAACATTTCAAATGACATACCTGTTTATGACTTCAACTGTACCAAATGACTTCAACAATACACATTTAGTTTAAACATTCCTGAAGGTTTCTTGTTTAAAGTGAAATTTTCAATCATGCACTCACTCTTACAGTACTTCGTTATTTTTATTGCTTAATCTTGCACCGAATTTCTAATTTACTTTTTATTTAGAGGATTAAACTATGGCTAGATTTTTCTGAATTTTTCATCATCAAAAAATTATGTCATTAAGAGATATTATTTTTCTAATAACATCTTCCAATATCTTTCTTTCCTAATTTTCACAGGTCAATTTTAGTAATGCATAACAAATTTAAATATATTTATGATAAAAATACAATAGGAAAGGTCAATACACAGGTCAATTAGGAAAGAAAGATATTGGAAGATGTTATTAGAAAAATAATATCTCTTAATGACATAATTTTTTGATGATGAAAAATTCAGAAAAATCTAGCCATAGTTTAATCCTCTAAATAAAAAGTAAATTAGAAATTCGGTGCAAGATTAAGCAATAAAAATAACGAAGTACTGTAAGAGTGAGTGCATGATTGAAAATTTCACTTTAAACAAGAAACCTTCAGGAATGTTTAAACTAAATGTGTATTGTTGAAGTCATTTGGTACAGTTGAAGTCATCAACAGGTATGTCATTTGAAATGTTAAATTATATGCTTAATACCATGTAGAAACTTAATATAATTTATTAAACGGCAGAATGAAAGGAAATGAAAAATCTGTAATCATGCATACACCCAATTTTGAGAAACTATGTTAGAACATCACTCAAAATTGGCTAATTTGCAATACAGAACAGAAGGGTAAGTTCTTTGTAATATATATGTTATCTTAACAATTTAATGTTATGTAATAACCATGTACATTTTAAAAAATAGTTGACTGAGGAGGAGCATTGTGGGCCCGAAATGAATATCAACTAAAAAGAATAAATCAAGGATAAAAAAGCTGCCCAGTGTCTGATTGAATGCACTTTATCGTGCTTGTGAAACAAAGACATAGAATGACATGGTTTCAAATTAATAAAGAAATATATTTACATTATCTCCAAACTTTTTATTGTTTATCTTCTGAAACTTGATTTTTTTATTAATTTCTGTGGAAAAAAAAATTTTTTAATTTCAACTTTAAACTTCATATCAATAAAATAGTAATTAATGATGTAAAAAAATATGAAAAATACCAAAACTAAATTATAATTGTTTACCAGGCTAAATTTTAAATTTAATATATTAAATAATAAATAGGTGACTTTGGCACTAATTTGGCACTAATTGAACAATTTGTCATTTATTATTAACTTACCTATATTAATGCCAAATTTATTACTAAAGTTTTGATTTTAACAATTCAATAATTTGGATTATAATTTTTATCTTTTAAATTAAGGTAACTATATACTGGCGACCATCTGAAAAACGTTTTCATTTGTCATTTGGAGTAGCTGGTCAAACAGCTTCTGCAAGTAATCCACATACAATTGTAGCTGCTCAGTTACAACATGAATTTAATCAACACCATTCAGTAGCATCTCTTGTACAGGTAAAGAAAAAGTTGATTAATATATATATAGTATATTTATATACAGTAGACCCCCTATAATGCTTAGATACATTCCACGCTAATTGAATTTTACGTTGTAGGAGTGATTAAATACATGAGCCAATCGCAGCCCGATAGGTTTGAACTTTACGGACTAAGGCTGTTTGAAAGGTTTTCTTCTATAAAATTAACCGATTCTAGACTAATTCCACTCAACATTTCCAAAACACGTATAATTTTTTGGGAATAATCTGTATAAACTATGCTATAAACAAAAAATTATAGGATTACTTACCGAGTGTGCACCATTCGACTA